GATCTTGAATTAATGAGCAAATTCCTCTTCACATCTCTCACTCTCCCTCTCTCACGGTTGCGCTATCGCGAATGTATCAAGAATGGAATCGAAACTGGCTCTTGCTTACAGACGCCAGATAAAAAGAGGAAACGGAAGCTCCTAGACAGGCTCGTAAGTCGACAGTCGGAGCTGTTCTGCTCTCCCTCATATCATTGGCTGGCCTGCTTATTCTCCCTATTCCCACCATCCCAGGCATAACGAATCCTTAGGGGGTGCGGATTAGCGTCATTGCAGGAAGGCCTGAGAATCATATGAAAAAAGGTATACTACTTCTTCCATGCCGCGACAACACGATCATTATAGTACATAGGTGAATAGGCCAAACGTGCCACAGGAAAGTGAAACGGTTCTGTGTCGAGAGGGTAAGAAGTAAGCAGTCGTTCCTCCAGATGCTCTCAGAGAGGTTTCAGGTTTACATCTAAGCCACGTGCTGGCTTCAGATGCGATCTAGACCTTTCCCCCGCTAGTGGAACTTCAGTCTCTGCACTATGGGATAATAATTGGTTTTCCTCCGATTATGGAGTTAGCACAATCGGGATGTGCGGCGCTGAGCTACCGTGGCATGATCCTAAGTCGTTGGTATCATCTCCCTAAGGACATTCGCCGATAATATGATGTCCACGCCAATTGACGGCTAGTGATTATCCACCTGCCATGGAGCTTATTTTCCTCCCCGCAAGTGATACCTCTGCTTCGATCCCATACCATTGTAACCATGTAATGTTTACACGCATATCAGTCGATGCGAATGGAAGAGTCGAGCATTGACTTTAGTAGAGAAATTAACAGGAATTTAAACTAATCCCAAAAACTGTTATTGCGCTCCTCAATGCGAAATAATAGGCCAACAACGAAAAGGGCACGAGTTCCATCTTGAAAGCCCATATCCTTTCCTCGTGTCATTTTCGAAAATCTCCGCGTTTGGCGGCTCAGTGAAGGAAGAAGTGTGCATCCGGGAATCAGATAAATGTCGGATTTTCCGTACCCAAAGTGGAAAAGAAGGTATTATTTTTCATGAATACCTCTTGGTTATAAGGGCAGGGAGGCGAGAGAAGTTCTTGTGAATATATCAGGTTGTAAAGGTGAAATTTAGACATTTTCCAGAAAAAAATTTATTGACAATTAACTCAACAACGACTAGAGTTCAGTCTTGCAGGTAATCACCATCAATATCAATCACATCTCGCCACTTAAAACAATTTATTGACAATTAACTCAACAACGACTAGAGTTCAGTCTTGCAGGTAATCACCATCAATATCAATCACATCTCGCCACTTTTGCTGCAAACTTTCAATCCCGGGAGCATAGAATGACTGGGGCCTTCTAACATTTTCCAGATTTTTCTAGAAAAAATCGAAATGTCTAAATTTCACCTTTACAACCTGATAGAACTTATGACGTGTTAACTCCTTATGCAAGCAGCGATGGAAGATAAAAGTTGCCTATCGTGTCTTCTGACATCATGGACGTCATTGGATAGAAAATTTCACGAGTAAAATAAAAATGTTCGTGGACTCGATCCAAGCGGTGCAAGAGGCAAAAATGGGTTATGAAATGATTGCAGTACAGCCCTGCCATCTGGCATTTACTCGAACGAACCAGGTTTCCAAAAGAGAAGAGTGATGGCGGATCAATCGTCGTTGTTGCAAGTGTTCCTCGAAAGCTTCGTGGAAATAAAAAGCGTTCTCCCCTGTGGAGGTGATTTTTCGTCAAAAACTTCGTAGTCAATCGTGTTTCCGCCTTCAATCGATCTTAAGGCCTATGAAGTACGCACCCAAACAGCATGTTTATGTTAATTTTACGTAAACTGAATGTACATTTTTTGTCCAATTCATATCATTTTTACGCAAACCATTGTCAATATAATGCCAACATGTTTGCATAAATGTCACCTCTGTGATACGTAAACAGTGACATAAAATTAACATCAATTTTACGTAAAATTGACATGACCGTTTGCATTCCTAACAGTATTTTTACGTTGATTTTACGCAAGATTTATGTTAACTTCCCTCTAGCATTCATGTGTCTTTAACGAGCCAATCAGCACCTTTGAAAGGAATTGATATACTGTATCTCCCATTCCTTTCCATACTTCAACTCAAGATTGGTTGGATGAGTACACTCATCCTCATCAACACTCAAGAGTACCAAAACAACCTACCACTTCCTTTTATACTGGAACCTCGTGAGGAGGAGTAGATTCATCAAGGAGCCCTCCCATTTAGGGTAGAGAAGATTTAGTACTTGTACAGCGGGGATTCTACTCTTCCCTAATTACGTGCACTGCTGTAATAAAAATCTTAACTTCAGCATTTCATGATTCCCTGAGTCATATGTTATAAAAAATATATTATAATTGCATGATTTCCATATATATAATCATGGATTGCATAATAAAATGTGGAAGGATGGTAAGAAAATCTAATATTTTATCAGGAAAGCCAGTACTTAATAGTATTTGTCAGATGCAGGGAACAAGGGTTCCATCTAGTGAGGTATCTTGGTACTGCAGCTGCAGGATGGTCCGGTAAAGTTTCATATGGATGGTGTGGCGTTAATTTTGCATAAACTTGATATCATATACATCACGTCAAATGGAGTGACGTCTAGTTTATGTAAAATACACGTACACTTTGGTGACATAAATATAGGAACGTAAATTTTACGTGAACGTGATGTCATTTTCATGGCAATCGCAATAAATTTACATTGTTTGCAAGGAATTGATATCTTGTTCACGTAAACATGCTGCTTGGG